CCTCTGTTGTCACAGATCACCTTTGCCTTGAATGTTGAACTTAAACTCAGTCCAGTGAGTGTATTGAATATGTATTATTTGCCAGATAACACTATGGGTATTGGGGGAAAAGAAAGATACAGTTCATCCCTTTATGAGCGAACAATTTCTTCAGTGAGAAAAAAAAACTTGGAATAAGAAACTATTTATTTATTTAACCATTCACTCCACAAATGTGCATGGAGGGCCTGTTCTGGACAACACTGGGTCCTCTACAAATTCATGTATGAAAGCCCTATCACAACTGTGATTGTATTTGAATACAGAACCTCTAGAGAGATCATTTAAATTACGTTTTTAAATCATTACAATGGTGTCTTAACCCCATAGCATTGGTAGCTTTATCTGAAAAGGGAGAGACAGGAAAAGGCTCTTGTTTCCTTCCTTTTCTCCTATGTGCATATTCAGAGGTAAGGATGTGTGAAGACATAGCAAGAAGTCGGGGAAAGAGATCTCACTGGAAACCAGCCTTGATAGCACTTTGATCTTGAACTTCTGGCCTTTCTGCCACTCAACTTGCGATATCGTTATGGCAGTCCCAGCAAATGAGACACAGGGTTTATTGTATGCCAGGCATTGGTTAAGTGCCAAGAACACAGCATGAAAAACAATAGGCAGAGTCCCCATACGCAAGGGATTTCCTTCTAGTGGAAGGAGGTCAGGTCTGACGAATGTGACCTGTGGAGATTCACCAGTAGAAAACTGAAGGAAGGAGTCCATTTGTTTTAGAAGGAAAGAAATGCCGGCTGAAAGTGATTTTTTGATCTCCAGGTAAATTGGAAGGTGATGGGCATTCATAGCAGGGAAGGTCAGTCCAGCTGTGAGAGGGCCTGATGGCAGGAAGGGCTGTACCTAATTTGAGAACCCAGAGTGAAGACTCAGGGCAGAATGTCACTGGAGAGATGCAGGAACTGGGCACATCACATAGACTTCTGCAGTGAAATCAAAAAATGTATACTTGATTCTAAGAACTCAGGAACGATTATAAACATAAGAAAGAAATTAATTAGGAGTATCAAGGGGAACAGAGTACTCTTTGGATATAGAGTTCCTCAGAGTTGGAAAATAAGACCTCTCAGACCCTTGTGATCATGACAAACTTTACAACTGTTTCCCAAGACTGGATAAATTATGTAAAAAAGCTGATTTTTGTGTATAAGTAGTTATTATTACATGCTTACCAAGATCTATCCCATAGGCATGTTGTATAATTGTGCTTTCGGCAGCTTACTAGGAAAAAAGGTCTAAATTATTTCAAAGAAAGGTACTTCAGGCATTTTGTGGTTATAAGACCATCAAACACCACATCAACCCTACCAAAAACAGATGACTCCAAACATAAAGTGTTGAGAGACATGCATAACAGAATCATTCATTTAAAAATGTCTTTCTTTACTTGTCGGTTGTAGAAATGGTTACAACTGATTAATGGCCTGCTAGAGAATTTGGTTTGTTGGAGGTACGTCCATCCGTCTATCCAGTAGGTGTTAGCAGTTATACTTCTCTGACAGGGCTCAGAGCCACACCTCAGGCAAGCTTTGCCAAAGAGCAAAGTGTTGATGGGGAGATGATCAATTATGGTGAAGCCTGGGTGTTATTGCCAAGTAGTCACACACTCAGCATGAATGTCATTCTGCAGGGCAGAAAGGAGCTAAAGGAGATTAGTGGAGGCTGAGACTTGAAATTGTGGCTACAGGAAGGGGTGGGTGTGGGAAAAACCAAGGGAAAATCATGTCAGGCTGCCAGACACTTGGTAGAGTTTATGCAATTAGTTCCTTATTCCCGCCATGTAACTGAGCCAACCCAAGCTAAGCACACAAACCATTCTTCTCCAGGCCCCATGAGTTTCACAAGAGTGACTTTCTGGAACTAAATCAGACATTTCTATGATTTCCTTCAGCTTTTTTTTTTCTTGCTACTCTATTCCCTTAGTTCTTACTTGGCCTTGCTTCATCTACCACATAGTACATTAGAGATAGATAGATAGAATTCCTGTAAGATTTGAAAACTCTGAATTTACACAGTTGTAGCATTTCCCCCAATTTTTGATATTATCTTTTTCTGAATCCAGAATACCCAGCTGAGCCTGGACTGAATCCCACTACTTTCTAATCTGTAGCATGGAGTTTTCTGCATAGGCACCCAGTCACCAGGACCTCCTTGGTTCTTAGTGAGAACTCGACCTAGAGAGGAAGAGAAAGCATGCTTCTGAGGGCCTCTATAAAGGCAGGAGAAATGTTTGCCTTCTGATTGTAGAGGAGAATAAATTACCACAGATCAATTACCACAGACCATCTATAATGTTTTGCACACTAACAGACAGGATGCCTGGAAATCTGGAATCTTGGAAACTGAGTTTTCTTTAAATGTAAAAATGGAGGAGATTTCTAAATAAAGAGAAAAATCGAAAAATTGTTTCAAGGTGGATTTGCCATTTATCAGTACAATATTTAGACAACCTCTCTTTCTCTTATACCTTTCTCTCACTGACCTACTTTTAATTATACCTTGTGAAAAATGTCCTTGATCTTCACGGTCATAAATTAAGTTGCTTCTTGTAACTGCTTCTAAATGTTGAGTATGAGAGACTGGCTGGTCTTTGATCATGTACTGCAGAAGTGTCAGAAAACTAAAAGAAAAATAGACAGGTTAAAGCCTGTCAAACAAAAGTTCAATTTTAGAAAGTCTCATTTTTCCTATGTTCATAGCTGCTCCAGTTACAAATGTGATTAGGTATTTAAAATTAAATTAAGATTAACATGAAATTCTTGCAATCCTTCCTCTGGGTTTCAAGATTTCCTTTCAGTTTTCTACACTCATGCTTATAAAAATTGTTGAATTAATTTGAGTTGCCTTTTCTCAAATCCTGAGCTGAAACTCCAGAACACTAGTTCACTGATGTTTTGATTTTGAAAGAAGTTTTGCTTTATTTGTACAGTACAAATGAAAGCATTTTGCTCTTTCTTTAATGGTCAATTATATTTTCTTCACTTCTTACCCTTTCAGGAGATTCTGGTCTCCCCCCAATATTCCTTAATGCATTTGTTTCAAACATGCATAAAATATTTTCTTTGACGCAAATCTCTTGCTTAGTCAAACCAAATGGATGTATTACAAAAGTGTGCTAAGGTTTTGTTTTAAAATTACCAAGAATGGACAGGATAATTTATTAACTTTCTTTCTCAAGCCAGGAAGCTAGCAAAGCTAACTAGTCTAAATTGTGATGTTGAAACCCCATGGTATGCAAATTATGCAATTGTAGCTTTATATACTTCATATCCCCCATTCTCATAGTAACTTTAGAAGAGGGGAGTTGACATTGTTATGGGCATTTTACAGTCAAGAAAACAGTCTGGGAGTTGTTACAACATTTGCTCAAAGAAAATCTGTATTTGGGACTTGTAACTGAGAATCCAACTCCTATTCATCAGGTTATGTTTTTATGATTCTGCCTTCCTCACATCCATAGTACTGTAAGTTACTTCTCTTTGCGGCTGTGAGGTACTTTTTGAGTCTAGGGGACTTTTCCACGAATCTGTGATGGTGACAACTGGAAAGGGAGATAGAATGGGTGTTTGGTGTCAGTAAGAGATACCAGACTCCAGAGCCAGGTAAATGTTGGAAGAATCAGCTAACTTCTGTACCTCACTTTTATTTTTCCTATGTATAAAGTGAGGATAACATTCTCTTAGGACTGTTGTTAGAACTGAATTAATCCATCTGGACTTAGCTCTATGGTACAACGAAGATAGCAGATCTAATTTCCTTTTTCTGACTCCCTCCCTTTTTTTCTTCTTTCCTTCATCAATCATTTCTTGAATATTTAATAACTTCCCATGTGCTATTCCAGAAAGGGAGATCACAGATACAAACACAAAATAGTCCTTGCAGCTTAAATTCTTAAGTTAGGTGGAAACAATAAATTATGCAACAATGAGGTACACAATCTTGTAAAGATATATGGGATGAACAAGTCATTGAGTAGAATTCTAAAGGGAGAAAAAATGAGAAGGATAAGTAATGAGAATGATATTTAGAATCAAACAAACATATGTGCAAAAATATGTCAAGTAGCCTGATGTGCTGAAGGATGTAAAGAATGTGATCATAAGTAATGAAAGCTAAGGTAAAAAAGTAAAAAAATGTAGATGGGGTGCCAGCGCTATACATGGAATAGTTATTTTCTTTATATAGCAAAAGACAAGTAGTTCACTATATATAGTTCACTATTTTCTGCCATTTACCAGAATGAATTCATTTAGTCATTGTAATAACCCTATGATGGAGATACCCTATATTACAGATGCAAATCCTGAGGTGCTACTCCAAGTTATCCAACTTTTAATTAGTACAGTTGAGAATTGAACCCAGACAGTTTGGCTCCAGAGCCCTTTGTTTAAACTCTGTGCTTGGCTGCTTTGCAAGTGCAGATTAAATCCCATAGAACATGGAACCCAACTCCTAGATTGTAGAAAGACCTGTGATGTGAAGGTTTTAAACTTTTCAGTGCCTGTTCTTGTAGCATAGTGGGATGCAATGGAGGAAGAGAGCCACTAAGGGCTGACATGCTTGTTAGGAAAAGCGAATAATCCAAGAAGAAAATAGAGATGACAAATTTGAGGGTTTGCATGATTGTGGGGGATGTGGAGAGGCAAGGGAAGGCAAAAGTCACTTTGGTTTCCAACTTGGGTGTTCAAGGTAGATGGTAGAAAGATTAATGCTCAAGAATCAGCCATGTGGAAAAGAGGGGATTAAATAGGAAAAAGCAAGTTCTCCTAAATCCAGGATGTATTAAATGCACCATTAGATGAGAATAATTATATGGTTTTTCAATTTCAGCCTCCAAACACCCACAGAACTGATAGACTCACTGAAAGAGTGGGGGCGTGCATTTAAAAGTAAAATGGAAAACAAAGGTCAGCAGAAACACAGAGAAATGTTTGGAAATATTTTTCTCTTACCATGAAAATGAAACCATTTGCAGCATTTCAGCCTCAAAACACGGACAAGAGGAAGATGGCAAACAGCAAGGGATGAGAGGCCGGAGAGTCCAACCCAGGGCGTAAAGACTGAGACCTTTGTCCGAAGTACGGCTCTTGTCACCTCCTTGTTAGTGTGCTGCAGAACCAGCAAGGGGAAGAAAATAAAGCACCAGATAAAACCAAAACATACTAAAAAGTTTTCTTTTTTCTGTCTTAGCCTTAGCCTCTCCTCCTCTCTGAATCTCACCGCTGCTCTTCTGGCTCTAATTGAGTCAGCTTATTTCTCTGCAATTAAATCTAGTCAGCTGAGGCTGGTCCTTGCATTGTTGGATTTGGGTATGGGAGACCATTGGGGGAACGCCAAGAAATCAGGGTTATTGGAGAATGAGAAGCAAGGAGAGAGTGGCTTTCGTCACAGGAGTGGCCTCTCTGTTTTTGCCTCTGAAATCAGCATGTTCACAAAGCTGTCTGAGACAATCACTTAAAAGCCTTGAAACTCTGCAGACTGTTTGGATTACAGATTGGAATATAGTTGCAAAGAAGTAGATTCACTGTGCCTGAATGCAAAATGTATCAACTTAAAATGACAATTTTGTATGGTTAAGCCCATTACAACAATGTTTTATTTCTTTCATCTTTTCTGAGTATATGGGATGTCATTAATGTTACCAGCTGCATGGCTTTTTCTGTATACAAACAGCAGAGGAAAAAAAAAAAAACCCACACTCAACAGCCATTGGCTCTCCTGTTTTCCACTTAGAAAGCTGTTGTACTGCCAAGGCAAATGTGAAACAGGCTCCCACAATAACAGCAATTTCCCAAATGCCCTGTTAATTTTCAGTAAACCAAAATAAAATGTGTTATTATTTATTAAGAATATGCACTACATACGGTTTCCAGATGATAAGTATTTCGGTAAAGTACCACATAGAGAACAATTTCAGTTGGCTTACAAGCTGTAACCTTAGAGTAATGGGTATAGCCCAGGGTCAGAATTGTCACTTTTATTGGGTTAATTCAATGTTCATGGTTTACAAACTGTGATATAGGACCAGTGAAAAGTTTTTCCATTCGCAGTATCAGTTGCATTATACATGTAATTTTACGTAAAAGAGTAGCTTCTCGTATATTATTTATTCATAATGACATTTCCTAAACAACTGCATGGTACAGGATGATACTGTTGTCGTGGGTACAGAAAATGGAATACATTCCAAACACTGGGTTTGAGACAACTCTTCTCTTCCAATTACATTAACTTTGGAAGTTATATATATATATTTACAGTTATGAAAGCAGAGTGTCATTATTTTTGGAGAATGATTTGGGGTTCCTTTAGGGTAATTGATATGTGTGTTAAGACCCTTTTTTTGTAACATTGACCCTTGATTCCCCTCTTGGATCATGGGGAGCCCTGAATGAACTGCTTTTCAGAACCTTCCAGCCCCGAGGTAAGGAGAGCTGCATCTGGCCAGAACCCGGTGATCCCAAGGTCTGCTTTGAATGTGGCCCATGCCAGACCTCCTGTGAGGGCTGCCTACTTTGGCTTTCTTTCCTTTCTTCTGTGCTTCTAGATTCTCATGGCTGGGTCTGTGATTTCCTAACCTAATGCTGCCAGGGCCTGGGAGGACTTAGCCTCAGTTCCTGCGCTCTCCTGGTGGCCTTGCTGTTAGATGTCTGTCCAGATCAAGGTCTGGCATCCTGTAAGGAGCCGTGGGCCAAGTCACCACCTCCCACCCCAAGGTCAAACCCTTCTGTTCTCATGGCTTCAGGTCACTGAGTTAGAATTCCAGTCTGGTTTTGGCTACTTGCCTTAAGGAAAAGGAAGTTATAGCACTTTTTACAGATTGCACATAAAATGCATGTTCATTTAGGAAAATCAGGAAATCTCTCATCCTCTATAAATCACACAAATTTCCACTGTTTAGTGATAACCATCACTACTATTTTGAGATTTAATCAAGAAATTTTTCATTGTATGTACATACAAAAACTGAAAAAGATGAGCTGAAAATAAGGTCATATATTGTATACATGTATTATATATGTAGTTTTAAACCAAAATATATATTTTTCCTTCCAAGGGTGCAGTTCCATGTAAAAATATACTCTACATTATTTTCATAGTTTCTTAGGATTCTACTTTTCACTAAACATATTTTCAAAATCCAAAATGCAAGAAAGACATATTATTACACACCCTTGCTTTTCTCACCTCACCAGTTTTTTTTTTTTTTTTTTTTTTTTCGGTTCCTTTATCTGAAGCTTTCCGTGGATGTGACTCTAAAGGGGATCCTTGTTCTCACAGTGCATTGAAAAGAAGAATAATCCAAGACATTTGTTTGAAGTCTATTTCCTCAGGTCTCAACACCAGAGATTTTCATTCAGTGATTCTGGAGTGAGGTTTCCGTTTCTTAAGAACACCTAAAGTGATTTTGCTTCAGTGTTCTCCACACTACACTGTAAGTAACAGCATCCTAAGGAGGCTGGCTCCCTGGGGCTGATGGCCTCTGCAGGGAGCCACCCTGCAAACTGGAAAGAGCCATTACATGGCGCACAGTTCAGCTCTCAGTTTGCCATTGCTTGCGGATTTTCTGAGCTTATCGGGCAGCTATGCATTCCCTCTTCTGCGTGTGTTTAACACCCATGTTTATTTCTATTTTCATACCCGCCATCTCGCCAACTGGAGCATGCCCTTCTGTAGGAAAACACTGGTATATTTGCTATATGTGGACCCAAGACTCGCCTGTCAGTTGACACAGATGTTTGTTATTTGAAAAAAAATAAGAAAGGGAAATATGGAAGGAAAGAAGGCAGCCTGTTTTATTTTGGGGAATCAAGGAACACTTCCTATAGAGAATTCCAAATGTGCTAAGCCTTAAAAACCTATAGGTGCCATTTAAGGAGCAGTAATTTCTTTTTTTACATTATTGTAGCTCTCTGGAATTTCCTAATGCCCCTTATAACAATGTGTTTTACAATTTCTGGTTACTCTTGAGGTCAGGGAGATTAAGTAGCTTGTTCAGGGCATGGAGTTTAAATAAACAAATGGCTCAAACCAACTGTGGGGCCAGATGGTGGAGACAAGAAAAGAAGATCTCAGTTGAACTTGAATGTTGAATGCATACAGACATCAGTCAGTTCAGGGTCTGGAATCATTGTCCTGAGCTAAAATTAATTCCACCAGACAATGGGGAACTAGGGTAGTATTTTGAATAAAAAGTGTGTTCAGAATTTGAGGCCCATGAACATTAGATTGAAAGAGGGGTAAACTGGATATGGGGACACCAGTTTTTTATTTTAAAACCTCAACAAAGAGGTGTAAGGCCATGATGTGAGATGAGAAAGAGGGAGCCAGTGAACTAAGGAGCAGATTCCCTTAAAACACAATTCTGAGAGAACCGGTGAATTTGATGACTTACTATGCACAAATAAGGTTAGAAGATCCCACCACAGTTCACCCTAGGTGTCACGTCTGAGGTGTGTGATGCCTTCAGCAGAAGTGGGGTGACAACTGTGGCCAGGGGAGGAGATTTGTACTTGTGAATTTGAGATGTCAGAAGAAGTCTGGCCAGAGACAAGTAGCATACAGAAGGGAGCGCTAGGTCAGAGAAAAAGTGCCAAGGAATTTGAAAGCCGGTGTAAGGAAGAGAAAACACAAGGAGGAGATTTATTGGGACCTTGTTTTTCAATGTGTTCATGGACAGTCTGAGAGATGGTATGCTAAATATGAGATCCTTAGATGATTTTTTGCATTAGAAAACATTTTTATCCTTAATAAAGCTAGAGACTCCATGGAACCCAGTACCCTATAAGCCAAGCAGTAACTTTTCACAGGTGGAATGTCAGATGTATAACAAACTGGGGAAGGTTGTTTGGAGTCCTATATCCTTTCCAAGACGCATACTAATATAATGAACAACTATTGAGCTGGGATAAGTGAACTAACTTATTCAATTTTGACAAAGTCACGCTATAAGATAAATGTGACTATTCACTCAGTTTTTGAGTTGAGGAAACAGACACTAGGAAGCTCAGTTTCTCGACCCATGTTACACAGCCTGTGTGTGCTCCCCTGAAAGTAATCTGAGTAGCCTATCTCACTGCATATATATTTGGTGCATATTTGATGCTAAGCTGTGCTTTTTCTGATCTGAGTAGTGCAGTCTTTCCAGCCTTGGTGAAAGTGAGCTGACCTTAGCAGGTTGTCACTCAGACACTGTCTCCCAAGGAGCAGATCTCCCACCTGTCAGTACCTCCTGACTTGCCAGATAGGAGTGGGGAGGACATTGATAAGGAGATTCTGGATGATCCCTTCTGCAGCCTGGTGCCTCTCTTTATGTTGCTGGGGTGCTGTTTCCTAATGTTATCTATGATCTAAGATGTGGACTCACATATATAAACTCTCCCAGCTTCTGGAGCAGTATGGGAGGAGGACGAGGACATGGGAGGAGAGTGGGTGAGGCCACCATGACCCTTCCTCCCCTCCAAGATGTCACTGAGTATTCACTCGCCACCTCCATCACCTCCCTTCCACATGCTAAGGTCCCTCTTGGGATATTGTAGAGATGGGGGAAAGTATACAAATTTATGTGTGCATTTCATCTAACTTCGGTGTTTTGTGTGTTTTTGCATGTATATGTGTGTATTCACATTTCCTCTGAGTGGTATGAACATACAGAAAGAAGAGAAACATGCTCCATGCAAAATTTACTTCTTTCCAAATGTAGCTCTCACTCACCAGGAATTATGTTAATTTTATATGAACCTTTATTATTTATAATTTATTACATGCTTATAGAATCTCAGAGAGAGAGAGAGAGATAGAGATACACAGAGAGAGAGAGAGAGAGAGAGAGAGACAGAGAGAGAGAGAGAGAGAGAGAGAGAGAGAGAGAGAGAGAGAGAGAGAGAGAGAATGAATCATTCCACAAACTCGACCTCAGTGGAAGGAAGAAAACTGCAGCTTCGATGAATAATTAAAACCCACATGTCAGTGTGTACCTGGAAGCCAACCTACACTCCTCCAACTTCCTCTCCTTTAAGAAAACGGCACTGTGAGACAAAACTAACAATCCACAGTGGCGTGATCTGAGGACACTTCTTGCTGGTAACTGACAGGTCACCAGACTGAAAGATGAAAGGAATTGGCCACCTCCTGCAGTTGCTGGAGGACGTGCGGGACACTTTCATCTCCCCCTGTCCCCTGCCTCCTTTCTGTCCCTGCCCGCCCCCCGGCCACAGTTGTGTTCTGGAGGCTCCACTTTAATGCTACCAGGT